GTCAAGTGTTGTTTATGCATTACGAGTGCATCACAAGCAAATTGTATAAATTATTCAAGTTTGAGTATAAATAAGTAAAGTTTATTTGATAAGAGTACTTGTTCGACTCAAAAGCATGTTGAGGTCAGTGGAAAAATAAAAAAAAAACAGAGGACTTTGTATTTAGTCAAAACACAGACCGCATTTATACGAACGTTTTTTAAGAGCGATAAGTGATTAAAAATTGATACTACTATTTCGAATATGATAAGTTTGTGCTGTCTATGAGTAGGTCTGCGTATTTGCTTTGGCTATTATTAAAATTAATTTCGATTGTTATTCACGATAAGAACTTTATATTTAATTTTCTAGTCCGATAATTTGTATAAGACGTCTAAAAGTTGTTCCTCCAAAGTTGAGCGAAACTGAATAATCATGTGGAAATTGAACGAACCCTAATTGATGTAAACGTTATTTGTTGTAGGCAGCAGTAGCAGTTAGCAACCGCCAACCAAAGTGTCCCGCCAGTTCGTGTCATCTTCCGAACCCGAGGTTCGCAGTCTAAAAAAATCCTGCCGCGTTCATGGTCGCTGACCAAAAAAGCGACTGCAGTCAGGATCGTCAAGTTGGATAACATGTGTGCAGTGAACGCCATATCTGCCTGCAGGGTAGATGCTCGTGGTTTCGAAGGGAAGTTTAGTGAGTTAGCTGTTGTGCCAGCTGCACCAGACCGCATCTAGTCTCCCTTAGACATTGTAGAGAGTCCAACGTGTGTTGTTTACTGCATTGAAATAAACTCCTTCGAAAATGGAGATTCTAAGTACGACTTGAAGATCTCCCAAGATCGATTCACATACTTGGTGAAATAACGCCTTTTATTTCATTTTTACGAAGAAACAAAACACCAATCAAACTATTAATGTAATTTTTAAAGCATACATACATTTTTCATAACAGTTTCAATATTCAGATTTATTGTGAATTTTCATCATTAACGCTACTTAAGAAAATGCTTAAGTTTTTTTTATATTTTTTTTTTGATCACAAATGAGAAAAAATGTTATGTTTTACTTCGAACCAACCACTACATAGTTTAAAAAGTGTATAATACAATGGAGCTTACATATATATGTACGTAGATTTTGTTGCAATACGGACGCTTTTTAGTTTTTTTTCTTTGTTTTCGCTAACTCTATATTTAACCTTTTTAGAAAAGATTTGCTGCCAAACTGCATATGTACTAATTTTTTTTTTCTAAAAGACTAATTAAGGAGTGCAAATTTTTTATGAAAATTTCCAAAAAGTTTGGAATTGCGATTTTTGGAGTTTTTGTTGTAGTATTAGCCACATTTTTATATAGTTATTGAATTCTTTGGTCTTTGCTCTATTAAGTTAGATAGGTGGGAGGTGTCAAGCCCCAATTCAAATTTCTTTAAAATTTTAGATTTTCTGAGGTAAACCCTAGATTAATATGCATCAATTGAGAGAAAATCGATTCACGGATCGAATCGGAACAAAAAATTTTACAAAACATCCGATCGGCAGGGCTCGATTAATGAGTTAGTATCAATAAGGGTCTCAGACTCTGATCGAATTCTTTAGAATAATCATATCAGCGATTTCCATCACATAGCGACATTTGAACATCTAGCTAGCTGCTAGCCATCACCACAGCCTTCCTAATCAGTTCATTTACTCGTAATTGAATTGATCGCATTTTTCCATTTTTGCCTTATTTTTTCATATTCTTTTGTTTGCATTTGCTCTTATATACATATGCATCGGATGGAATGTATTATGCATTTATTACATATGCGCTCTCAATTGTTTACATCAACATAAAGGATGTAAACAATAAAAAATAAATTAATTTAAATGTGCACGTACTACGCGTTTGTGTATGTCATTTATGAATGTAGCCGGGGGTATGCAGTACCTACATATTGTGGTACTCATATCAGCTAGAGGAAGTACAATTATAGAATTTGTTTATACAATGCATAATTTTTTATTGAGTGCTATGGAAATATGTACTAATCATTATATGTATTTAATCATGTTGTATTCAATATTCAATTTTTTCCTTATGTACCAGTCAGCTGACTGGGAAACGAAAGACAGTTCTTAGTGTTGGCAGTATAAATATGTACACTGCCGGAACAAAGTATTGGCACGGCAAATTTTTCACAATATATGCAACAATTTTCATTCTTATATTTTTCCGCTAATTTCATATACAAATATAGTTCATTCTACAACAAAAAACATAAAAATAAATTCCTAAACAATGTGCAAAACTCGCGAAAATTCAGCAAATTTTCATCAATACTTTCATACTTTTTTTGAGTATGCAGATTTGTAGCCCAATCAATTTTATTATAATAAAGTGCAAGTTTTAAGTAGCTAGGAATTACCGTTGATTTTTGGCAATTTTTTTTCACGCAGTCTCTTCCATACAAAAATTTTTTCTCGAAAATACTTTATATGGAAAAAAATGCAAAACACTTTAAACAAAATAAATTCTCAAAAATCAACGCGATTTTTGACTAACTCCGAACTTCTATTTTTTTACTAGAATTTAATGGGCTGCAAAACTGCATACTCAAAAAAATTCTAAAAAATTTGATTAAAAAGTTGAAAATTTTGATAAAAATTAGCTGAATTTTCGCGAGTTTTGCACAAGGTTTAGGAATTTTATTTTTATGGTTTTTGTTGTTGAATGAACCACATTTTTTATACAAAATTGGGGAAAAAATATTAAGAGTAAAAATTGTTGCATATATTGTGAAGAATTTGCTGTGCCAATACTTTGTTCCGGCAGTGTACTTTTGTCTTATCGTTTATTGAAGAAAATCCGGCTGCTGTGGCAAAGTGTCGTTGAACCATCGTAACCCATCTGTTTTTGGAAGTCAATTTGAGATTTAAGATTTTCTAGTGAAAATGGTCGCTGGACTTTCTATGTTATTGTTTGGAATATACTTAGAGCTACTTTTTTATGTCATTACCTCACTTGGACACACTTTTTTGTTTGGCGTCTACTTCTATTTTCTAGACGCTTCTGGAAATTAGCATTTAGTGGTTATTAGTGCATTTCTACTTACATACATATGTACATATGTCATGTGCACTAAAGCCAATACCGAATGCATTTGTTTACTTGAAGCACAATGCGTAACCACTAGCAACACTATAATAAATCGGTCTATACAATACAAAAGGATAGCATGAACTAGAAACATTTTCGTTCGTGCTCATGAAAGCCTTATTTATAAGAGCTTAGAGTGCACTTTGCGAAATTTATTCTGCAACCTACAGTGAATTGAACAACCGCCTCTTCGAGAAGCAGTAAATTCGCTTAAAGAGTTGCAGCGCTGTCAGCACCAGTCTCAAGTGGCAATCACTAATGTTAGCTACCACTTTAAATAATAAGAAATTATTACGAAAATAATTTAAATAACGACCAGAATTTTCCTTTACCAATTAACAAATGTGTAGTAATGTATTTAACTGCAACTTAACCTAAATATACAGTCATGGAAAAAATTAAAGAAACAAGAAATGTTGACAAGTTTTGGAGATTTGTCTTTTCTTATATAATATTTTTATTTATATTAATTTAATGGGCTACAAAACTGCCAATCCTTTGATACCATATTTTAAAAATTTGAAATTTTTTCGCGTTTCTGTTGATTTGTATGTTGTTTTTTATATAAAAATGATTAAACGTTTAATAAGCAAGAGAAAAATATCCAAAATTTGTAAAAATTTTTGCTTCTATTATTTTGGCACACGTAACTGCAATTCCATCAATTTTCTGGTAACTTACTATTATACTGCCTTTTTTCTAAAAATAAGCTTGGTATCCCCTTTATAAAAATTTTTATGTGCATATTTTATAACTTCTATAATCATGTATGACCAACATTCCACCAATAGGAATGAACACCTGTTTCATGTTTCACGCCATGAGAAGAATTTGCTGATTTAACACGAAATTCGCAAACTACAACGCTTGTTTAAAAATGTACATATTTAAATATGTACATACGTATGTAATTATGTCAGCCACCCCGTCGGATACATATACAAACATTAGTACAACCCATGCATGTACATTCATTCGCCATACAGATTTGAAATCACCAACTGTAGCGCTTTCTTCAGGCGGCAATAAAATCATTCAGTCATTCCACCACCAATGCTGCTCCCTCTTTATGGCTATCGATCCAATATAGAGTGGAGTAAAATACGAAAAAGAACCGCCGCCATACCATAACAAATTGCAGCTAGTAACTCCTCTTACTGGTGTGTCACTTGTACCGCATGCCGCAAATGCTAAGGACATACAAAATCAAATCGTTTGCCCGTTAACAGGAGTCAAGACACCGAGTTGGTTGAATGAGGAATGAAATAAAAGTATGTGCTCCAATATAGGCACATACAAACATACATATTTACTTACACATGAGTTTATAAGTCAAACAAATGATGACTATTTGAGGCGACTTGGAAGAGCAGCGACAGATGTGAATTGGTGGGTGTGTGCGCTGTTGTTTGTTTGGACGCAATTTCAAAGCAAGTTCTACAAACAATACCAGTTTTTGCTGTGCGGGTAGTGGCGGTTCTGATGCGCAGGCGCTAAGAAAGGTGTCAAGAGTAAAGCATACATGAAACTGCTGCGGAATAAGTGTAAAAAATTGTATTCAATTTAGTTATAAATGAAAATAAGGTGTAATATCCGAACGGCTTACAATAGCTGATTGTAAGCAGTTAGACCCGGCTTCAAATCGTTATAGTCCTCTAAAAAGACATACATGCATACACATGTATTGTATACATCCAATTTGCCCTTAACGCTGCCGGCTTGTGGGCTGATAATTAAAAAATTGATTTTCCCAAATAAACAAAATGTTGCATTTCCTCCAGAATAAATAGGAAATTCGGCCACCTTATCAAACTATATACATACATATGTATTTAATATTCATATTTATTTATGTAAAAACATTTTCAATACTCACTGGCATTCATTCATAATCTCCTCTTGGCTGCGCACTTGTACTGGTGCCAAATCCTCGACATTTTCCTCGAAATTTCCAAAACACTTAGTGATCTTTTCATCAAATGTATTCACTAAATCCTCAAGACTACCACCAAATGTCTCGGCGAAATTATCCACGGTATCACCAGTGGTGGAACGCTTATCGCAGCCATCGTCGCCTGGCGTCAAACCCACATCCAAGCCAAGTTCAGCCGCTAGCAAGGAATTGCAATTGGGGCTCACTGCCCCACCGCCAAACTTTTCGCCACAATTTGTGCCATTCGTCATGAGCACACCATTCTTGCTCACGTGCGCATCGCGTACAGCCTCCTCGAGTAGGCGTATCTTTGTCTCCTGCTTCATAGCTGGATCTTTTAGATTCAGATTGAGCGTATCGTTGATCGTATTCTGATTTGAAATGAAGTCACAACCGCCCCATTCATCTGTCTCCTCGAATTTAGCTAAAGGAGCTTCGAATTTCAGCTCGGCCATTTTGGTGCCGAGGTCACGCATCACGCACGTATGCTCCGCTGGGGGTGAGGCTGGCGCTGTTGGCGGCGTCTTGACGCTTTTACTGCTGTTGCCCAATAAAATAGTGCAGACAAATTACTAAATGTTTGGAGTTTGGCGTGCAACAAATACTAATTACAATTAATTTTTTGTATTTACGCAATTTTCTGTTTTTACTGCTTTATATTTTTTTGGCTTGCAAAGATTTTTCACTATGCGTAATGCCCGTTCTTGCAGCACGGTTTTTCACGATATTTCACTGGGGGTGGTGATAAATTTTCACTTCCTTATTTGTGTATAATTTTTTCACTTTGTAAACGCGATAACTAGACGCGCGCGTCATAAATTTTAACAAGCCTGTATTAACTTTGTTTTCTATGATTTCTTATTACTTAACTCACAATTTGATTGGAATTTTTATGTTGATTTTTCCTTTGGAAAATTCACAATTTCACTGAACTGCAAAGTAGCGCAAAAACACAACGACCAATTCTCTTCAGCTCTGCAAAGCAACAAAAACAAAGTATTGAAAACATCAAATGAAATGACACCATGCATTAAATTCACCACGTTTGGTTTAACTCACCACTGTGCAGACAGTGTGTTGTGCAGCTTTGTACAAAGTGGTCTGGTTGAAATAGTGTAAAATTTTCGAGACAGAGTGGCAAATGTTACTCAATAAGTTAAACAAACTTTGATACGCGGGAGAAAAATGAACAATAACGCTTATTTATCTACGTTCTTTTTGTAAATAAATTTTCTTAACTTAGTAAACTACAACGGAAAATATTTGCAGGTACTCTAATTTCAATAGCTGTATTAAAAACGTCACCCTGTCTATGGTACCAACCGATTCCGGTAGTGCATTTTGATCCCACACCAGTGATGGAAAAGTAGGCACAATATTGCCAATTTTGGCACTTTCATTCTTAGAGGCACTTTTGGCACAATTCATCCTGTTTGGGCACACCATAAATTGTAAAAACTTAGCATAATATGCCAATGTATAACAAAAAATCACATACTACATTACAGATTAAAAAATTACAAAAAGAATTTTTAGAAAGATTATAAGTTTGTAGTTTTATAGTCCATTTAGTAAAAGTGCCACTTTCTGCAAAATCCCATTGATTTTTGATATGTTTTTTTTTGTCAACGGTGTCATAAGTTTTTATCAATTTAAAAAACTTACGAACATACTTTATATTAAAAAAATGCGTAAAATTGTAAACTTGGAATCTCTCTAAAAATTCTGGATCAAAAGTTTTCTGTTGCAAAATGCTGCTGAATTTTTATAATTTTTGTGTAAAGTTTAAAATTATGATTTGTGTACATATGTGCATATATGGTGTTTATTAAAGTATGATTTAGGCTTTTATATAAAATCAATAAAATCATTATTTCGCATATAGGCAGAGATATATGTGTAAACACCTCAGAATATCTATATTTCGGTGTATTTCCAATTCGCAATTTGAATAATGTGTTATTTTACTATGCATTTATATATACATATATGCATGTATAAGGAATCGTTCATCAAAGCGATTTACTGTAATAATTTAATTAATTAATAATTATTATAAATGCAATTTTTTTAAATATATTGTTTTTAAAAGGCCCTAAAAGAATAAAAATCAATTTGTGCCACCCTCGTATTCTTTTCGGCACTATTAAGCACATTTTTAAATTCCATCCCTTCCCAAACCGATTAGAATGACGGGAAATGGAAATCACAAAAAGTCGGTACAGAAGTGCGAGAGCGGCTGGTAATGCAGAATCAAATTTGCGAACCTAATGCTTGAAACACAATACCAGCGAACGGCAAACCGCAAATTTGGGCGATGCTGTCGTTCGCATTAGTGTAATTTTTTTTATACATACCGCATTAAATCCGATTTCGCATTTACAATTTGGGTGACCATATTTAAAAAAAGCGAAACCATATTTAGAAATGAGGAAATGATGACATATATAGATATAAAATAAAGAGAAATTATTAAAAATTGTTTTATTTTAAGCCATATTTAACCAATATGTAACTCTATCGTGCAACCAACATCCATAACTCGTGTTTTATGTTGTTTTCTTCGTAAACTTTGAAAGCAAAAAAGAAATAGGACCACTTTTCGCAGGTATAGCCGCCATCGCTCAGCGGGGCGATAGCAATAAAGCCAAGCGAATTCAATAGGGTTGTGTTGGGGCGACAGCTCAATTTTTCGCAGTGGAAATCATAATTTCAAAATGATGTGTTTGTTGTAATTCTTACTATCATTGTGCGTATAATTTGTTAGTGTAATTTTTTACTTATGTACGGCCAACACCACCTTATGAAATGCGCATGAGTAAATCTATCGCACGAAACGCGCAATGCGAACTTCGTATTTCGCATTGGCTGTGGTCAATTTCACGTGTGTGCTGGTGTTTTAATTTTGACACTGCGAATTTCGCAATGGTGAGATCGCAGTTCGTGGATATTGTGTTTCAATCATAAGAAATCGCAAGCGAAAGGAGCGAAAAACAATTGCTCCAGGAAAAGAAAAACATGGAAAATAGCTTATGAAAAGTGAAAATTGACTAATAAAAGGGTAGGCAGAACCAACCGGAAAATCCGGCGTGCTCTTGCAAATAAGAAACATTAAAATTCGAATGAAAAAGTGTTAACTCAAAAGCAAAGCAACATAAAAAGGTGGTGCAGCAGCAGCTGAAGCTCTCTGCCACTAATTGCAAGACCACAACAACACAATCGAATAACAACAACACGGCTAAAGGCACCTTGCAATCAACAACGCTACAAAAACAACACACGCAAGGCAATCGTCAAGGGGCTAATTGCGTTCGGCTGGGTGTGGGGTTGTTGTCAGACCCGTTGGAGCGGGGGTAAACAAAACGTATACTTGGTGGAGTTCCGTGCAAATTAAAGAGAACTTGTGGTCAAGTGAATGAAATGAATAAAGAGCGGTGTAGATATATTAAAATAACAACAATACAGGAGCGTCATCTCAAGGCAGAACCGCATTGCTAGCAGAGCCAAAAACAGCAGTTTTTCATTGAATAGGTAGCAGGCAGAAACGGCGGCAGCGGCGTCAGCATTGCTGATGTGAGTGTACACTAGAGATGGGCGCGGGATATCGGACCCGCGGGATTGATTTCAAAATGGCCGGGATGGGCGGTATCGGGAAGATCTTTAAAAATTTTGCGGGCGGGACGGGACAAAAATACTTTCCCGACACCCGAAAAATTTTGCACTTCGAAAGTTGAGAGAATTTTCCTTAAAACCGTTTTATGAAAAAGCGTTTTTTTATGTTTTAGTGAGACGTCAAAGCAAGAAAAATGTCCGAAGATGCTATTTCCTTCATTGTTTATTTTTTTTTATTATATAAAGTTAGTTTAGAGACATGTGAATTAATCTTAGTTGTAGACTTTGGGACCGACGGGCCCCGCGGTACAATTCTGAAAAATGTCGGGGGGTGCGGGTTCGGAACTTCAAAATTGAATCGCGGGATGGGCGGGTTCGGGACCTAAAAATAATTTCGGGATGGATGGGATCGGGATTGAATATTTAGGCCCGTGCCCATCTCTAGTGTACACAGCGGTAACGACGGCATTGAGTATGCCAACAGAAGAGTTCGTTCCATCAAGACGTGAGCAAAGCAGCTGAAGAAATACAATAAGGATTCGGGCAAAGAATATATCTATAAAATGATGCAATTAAAAAATTAAAATTAAAGCATTTAATGAAATTTAAGTGCAAAAGATGTGTATAAAATTATTTAAATCGAACTAAAGAAGTGAAATGGAAAAAATTTGCTAAAATGAAATCGAGACTGCCGTACGTGAGGTGATGATGTATGGTCTTGGAAATGTGCGGTGAGCTGAGGTGAAGACAAAGGCAAGCAGCGCTGGCGCAAGCAAATTGGATGTATGCGTGTGTGAATAGGAAATAATTGTACCAATACGGAGTTGAAATAATACAAATTGTTGGCTGAAATATTTGGGAAGGAAATATGTACGAAAACCGCATTTAAAAGTGCAAATAAACTTTAATTTTTTTACAAAAACAGCTAACATGTGAGCACATATAAAAAGCAATACAATTAAACACTTATAGCTGAAGAAGAAGCAGAATAAGCAAAAGTGTAGATAAGTAATACAAGAAAAAGCAGCAACGCTAAGAAGCATATCATTATTTCGTTCAAGAGCAGAAAAGTGGCTGCCGAGCACAGAGATTTATGTATGTGAAGTAGTGCACATAAAAAATTGATTGAGCTTGAAAACGGAAAAATATCAGAAATACTTGTAGGACAGTTGGTAATCTAGAAGATCTGTGAGATAAACTAAAATCTAAAAAGTACGTTAAAAGTGACCTAATGCTACGTGTATGCCGCGCTGTAATTAGCCAGTGAACGTCAATGGTGAAAAAAGAAGTGGCGACGTGTGGGAGGGGGCGTTGGGCGTAAACAGCTGTGGTCATAGTATTTGTTTTTTTAAAGGGCGGACATTGAGACTAGAAATTTAATGATCACAAGGGCGAAAAAATTGATTCTTTGGCTTGAAATTTAATTAAACAGTATAGTGCTACCTACTACATATATTATACAAATTCAAAATGTCTATTTCAAGTGCATTTTATAGGAAAATGTTGTAGTTAAAAAAACTGTGTATGCACTGATTGGGAGTTCGTAATTGATCTTCGGACACATATGCCTACATGTATGTATGTATAAATGTATGTACATATGTATACAGGTACACATTTATGTTTTTGGCTACGAATTGGCTGAGTTGGAAATAAGAAAATATTTTGCAAAGAAGAATCAACTTGAATACCTTCTAAGATCAAAGTCAATCACTGTACTTTCAATCTTGTGACCCTATACACTAACACCAAAAAAAATCATGACCACCGCCGATTGCATGGAATCGCTGCTCAGCTCTATGTCTAGCACATTTGATGCTGAATGCGCTACGAGCACCGCTGAAGGTGGTTCGTTACTCAATCACGATTTGGCCGAAGACAAAACATTGAAATGGCGTACTTTGGTGAATAATCAATTCGCATGTAAAGATAAGGACAGAAAAGTACAACCAAACAAGCAGCAAGCGACAGCTGCAGAGGCCAACAGCACTCTACAAGAGGAAAAACAAAGTCAAAATAGCATTACCACCAGCACAAGCAGCACTACCTCCAGCAACAGCAACAAAAATAACAATGAAGATATAAAATCGGAACCACTGCCAAAGCAGGGCGATAAGCAGCTAGAGGATGGAGGAGCAGAACACAAGTCAGTAGATAAAGTTTCACCTGCACATGATATAAGACAACTCGAGCAGGAAGAATGTATCGCAACCGCAGACTTCATGGAGGAGCAAATGAAAGCCCTCTTGGCCGATGATGAAGACTTGCAACACCTCAATGAAGCTAACACAAGCACCGCTGCTGCCCATGAATCCCAAAATTGTGCGCCAGCTGTTAGCAAGGAGGAGGCAGTAGCTGGCGATGATAAGCTGTCCTTGCATGAAAGTGAATCCTCCTCAATAGTAGCAAGTGGCATAAGCGATGATGCGGCAAGCAGAAAAAGGCGTAGCAACACCAGTACAAGCAACAGCAACTGCAGCAATTATAACAGCAGCAGTAGCAATGCGAGCGTTGGCACACTTGCGCAAGGTCAATCGGACGAGAGCTGCTTCCACGATGGCGGCGTAACGGAGATGAAACGTTCATGCAATCAGGTTGTTACGGTAATGCCAGAAGTACAATTGGAGCAGATAGTGGTAACGCAGTCAGCTGATGTCATACCGGAAGGCGGTTTAGTAGCTGCAACCATAACAGCGGATGCTGCAGATTTGCTTTTAGTAGAATTAGATGCAATCAAGAAGGATAATGACGATGTGGAGGAGCAGCAGATGGTCGTGTCTGGAGTAAACGATGACCCTTGTGATTTGCCGATTGATGGTAGCTTAACTACAACCATAATAACAGCTGTAACAGCTGAATTAACGAATGGTGAACAAAACGTGGCCTTAGCCTGCAGCGACAGTTGCCAAGAAGGTGCACAAAAGAGTGTAGATCAGGGTGCGGCCACAGTGAGTGAGAATACGAAAACCAGCGATAGCACTGAGGACCACAACGATGTTGCTGATAAAAATGTAAGTATGGTGTGTTTTAAAGTAAATGTTTTTTTTATCTTTAAAAGCTATTTTTAAAATCACTGCGTGAGGAAGGATGGAAGTTAGAAGAACTATAAGAGAGTAGACATTGAAAAGGTTAAGTAATATAAATATGTAGGCACGTGAAGTTTGCAAAAAGCTGTAAAATCAAGCTGTGGTAGATATACATATATGGGGAGTGAATAGGTACGAGTATTTGACCATGTATTTGACTACGACCGATAGAGACTAGAGATCACATAATATTGAAGAGTATTATTCCACAAAAAAAAACACACGAAAAGCTTTTTTTTTACTTTTGTAGAAAAAATTTACTTACATATATTTTTTTAAATTTTCTTTTTTGTCTTTATAATTTTGTCGTTTGAAATTTTGTATACAATCTTCATTATTTTGTTTCTTATAACTATTTTATAAACTTTATTAACTAATGTCGTTTTAGTTTCTACCCAAAAATGTTACCTTCCCATTGCCCTCTCAGCACAAATAGGTACTAAGAACCGGGGAATGAAAAGGCAACAGTTTTGTAGAAACGAAAACGCCGTAAATTCAAACATTTAAAAAATAAAATCAAAAACAGATAAGGCTCATTAAAAAGGGGCACATAATACCGTTATTAATTCCACTAACATTTAATATATTATTTTATATTTTATTTTATTTGATTTAATTTTTTTTCGTTTTCATCGGCCATAGCAACGATGCTGTTGCTTACTCATGCTCCAAAAAGGGGCAAAGACTTGGAAGTTTCATACTAAACTTATTTAGTAAACATACACTCATATGTTCATATAAAGTTTTTTTAAGTGTATAGTTTAGCAATGCTCTTCGCTGCTTTTATTTCGCTTATAGCGTGTAATTATTAAGTTTTTCCATTTTGCTTTGCATGCTGTCGGCTGTGCTTTTGCTTATTTGCATGTGTTTTTGTTTTTAGCCGCTACCTTTGTTCCGCATATTTTTCATAAATTTTACTATACAAATTTTCAACGAAAACAAAGAGCTCAAAGAAACCTGGCCGAGAATTCTGCTTGATTTTTCGCTCTCAAAAGCTCTAGTGTATGCATATGTGGCTTTTATCGTTTATTACAATTTTTTTGGCCCCTTAAAATTATATATCAGTTATTTGTGCATACATTAATGCGGTTATTAAATTAGGCGATCGCTTTCCTACTTTGCTTTCAACATTTGTTCGCTGAAGCTTTTAAGTGGTTTGCAATAATTTTAAATGAATTGTTTATTGATCTCATATAACAGAAACCTTTGAATGTACATATGTATGTATGTATGTACATATGTACATAGATACTTAACCTTTAAAAATTTAAGAAATCATATCATTAATATTTGCACTCGTATCAGGGAATTCCCTTACTCGTTGTGGGGTTTGCTCGTGAAAGCTTTCAATGTTATGTTTGTTTTTTTATCAGCTGAACATAAACTCTCACATTTTTATGCGTGAGTGTATTCATGCATTAAAGTGTGAATATGTGAAAGATACTAACAAACTGGTAATGTACAGTAGCGGCAAAAAATCAAACAAAAATTGGCAGGAATATTACACAGGACCTTGGGAAGAGATTCAACTCAGAGAGCTGTAAAAGGACGCTCACTTGAAGGTAAAAATTCGTCGAATTGTAAGAAGGATTTACGTGTGAAAACAAAATTTATAAATAAAAAACGAAAAACAGAGAAAAAATAAATGTATTAAAGTAAAAAACCATAATAAAATTAAAAAAAACAACAAAATAAAGTGCAAAGAAATTTAATTGAAAAATTTTTATAAAAACAAAAAGTGAAGAAAAAATAAATGTCATAAAAACCTAATGAAAAATTAAAAAAAAAATAAATAAAATGGCAAAAAATCCAAACGGCAAAATAAAAGAATTGAAATACAAAACCAAAAATAAAAATAAAAAACAACATAAAGTAAATAAAAATAATTTAAATAAAAAAAATAAAAATAAAAACAAAAATAAAATTAAAATTAACAAAAATAAAGTGGAAAATAAAAAATAGAAGATGATAACAAATAAAAAATTACATTAAAAAATGCAATTCCTTAAAAAAGTCAAATTAAAATAAATAAATACTACATATTAAATAAATACGTATTAAAAAAAAAATTTAAAATTGGCGATAAAATCTGGAAAAATTTAGCTTGGAGCTATTTTTATAACCGCCAGTTTACGTTTACAAGCTCTCGGTTTCGAAACGCATGCTTAATGCTAATAAATAATATAATTTCATATACATATGTAATGGGTTTCTTTGGGCTTAAATTGGGGTCCAACTGAATAAAGAAAATATGTACATATTTTTCGAAGGTAGTCGATGAATGTTGATTAACATTTTTTTGACTGAAATGCTGATAAACTGGGAATGGCTTCAATTTAAATTGGCAAAAAAGCTTTGTTGGCTTCCAAATAAGGTCGGCAAAGTAGACTATGGTTCTTGTTGAGATTATTCTAGGTAAGTTAAGGCGAAGTACGATTAGCTGGTTTGTCAACTATAAATCCATAAAAGTCCCTTAAGAATTTGCAGTTAGGATAGTCGCGACTTAAAGCTTTAAAATCCTTAATTTCCTATATCTTTCCCTTTCCAGGCATCCAATGTGCGTGCGGCCAGTGTCAGCCCACTGCGTCGCTTACGACGGACACGCCGTTTTTCTGAGGTAGCCATTTCCAATGAAACACTGCCACAGGTCACCACCACAAATGCAGTGACGAAGATAGAAAATCTGGATATTACTGCTGAAGCAAAGGCACAACTTCCGGCAAAGGTGGAAACGCCAACAAACCCAGCTCCTGTACAAATAAACGATGTTGAACTGCCAGTGACGACTACAGTGGCGGCTGGCGCGCTTGAAGTGGCCGCAGCTGCAGCGGCTGCTGCAGCACAAGCGCAACTACAGCAGCAGCCAGGTAAACGTGGGCGTGGCCGCGGTAGAAAAATTACTGTTACGATGGAGGGATTTGAGCAAAGTGTGGATGTTGCGATGAAGGAGGAAGGAAAGCAACAGTTATTGACAGCACAAATGCCCTTGGATACACCAACAGCAGCGACAAAAACCACGACGATGCCGGCGCAAGAGCGCAAAATTGTAGGACGCAAGCGCAAGCAGTTTGAGGACAACAGCAGCAATGTCGCTACAGAAATTGCGCCAGCTATTAAAATTGAGCCGGATGCTAGCGAGAGCAACGCCGGCAAGGACGAGGCGCTTAGTCCCACTGTCACCGCGGCAGTAGCTGGTAATGGAAGTGGCGATAGCGGTAAGCGTATGCGACGTAGCGTCCGGCTGGGCAATCGTGCGGATGTGGGTGTGACGTCCGCTAGCATCGGCAAGCAGCTGGTATGTTTGCGTATTTCTTACTTTCTTTGTACCATAAATTGCTTTTTATTTCATTGTGTGTCTTGTAGGAGGGTCCAACACTCGAAGAAATCAAAATTGAACCAGTAGCAGCCAGCACCAACACAAAGCCCTCGCTGTTACTTACTGATCCGCTCAGCTTAACTGAAGCGCCGCCCCCGAATACAGAAAGGGTCCCTATTGCCGTGGTGGAAGAGCGCACGCCGCCAAAGAAGAGGGGACGCAAATCGAAACTGCATCACTTACAGCAACAACAGGATAAATCACAGTCTTATGCAAACAGCGAGAGCAGCGATCAGACACCGCCAGGCTCGGCAACAAAGCGCGGTGTTCACAGCAACAACGATATGGTCATTCCGAAGCGCTCGCAGCGACGCATTAAACCAACCACGAAAATACTTGAAAACAGTCAGCTGCGCTATGAATTCGAAACGAATAATATTGTGCGCTTGACGCAGACGCAAAATTGGGAAGATTGCGGTGGGGGTGGCACGCAAAACACAGGTGCAGGCGAACCGGCAACTGCCGGCGGTAGCCACGCGGAAACGGAGAAACCTATCAGGCAGCCGAAATCTGAGAAGGCGGAGCGTGCAGATATCAATGAAGAAAAGGCAGTCGTTCCCAGCACGAGTTCCACTAAGAAAAAATTATGCCCCAAGTTGCTGCGTGATATTGAAGCATCACGGGCTGCGCTGCTGGCTAAGGAACAAGCGCAGCTGGCGCGTCCTCACTGCCCGGACGTAGAGAAATTTCTCAGCGAAATCAAGGTTGCGAAGTGGCATACGAATCGCTTGACGGAGGAGCGCAAACTAACAAAGAAGCAGCTGCGCAAGTTGGCCAAGCAGAAGGAAAATAATTTGCGTAAGCTTGGACTGCGTCGCAACACCACTGATGAGGCGAGCGATGTAGAAAGCTTGAGCGACAATGAAGAATTTGTGCCGACCACCCGCGTGCAGGTGGAGCGCCGCAGTCACACATTGCGGCAGCGCGCGATACGTGAGCGTACTCCTACGCCAACAGCGGCGACGACAGCAGCACCACAAGTTCACCAGCCGGCACTGATGCGCGCAGTAACCACCTCGCCGACGACGAGCACAAAAGTGGGGCGCAAACCACAGGCGCGACAACGAGCAGCCACCGCCGACAAGCAGCCAGCCGCAGCGCAGAAACGTTCAGTGAACACGGGTGCCGGCGCTGGCGTGACCAAGCCACAACTTTCTCAGGTGGCCTCAATGGAGGTAATTGAAATCAATGAGTCCTCACAGGAGGTGCAGTCGTTGCAATCACCCAAGAGTATTTCGACCGGCGTTGGACTGGCCGCTACTGCAAGCGCGTTAAATGCCATTGGCACTGTGATCACCATGTCAATGCCGTCGCCGCCAACCGCTAGGCAGGCAAAGAAGCCGCAGCGCGGTTTGATCTGCTACTGCGAGCAGAAGACACAATTCTACACTCGCAATACACCCGATACGGCCTACTGTTGGGCCATTGACAATATCGAGGAGCAGAAGGTGGGCTGTAGCAATCAGTTGAACGGCGAGGTTTTCAATTTGCTGCGTCCAAGTCAGCGCGTCAGCTACATGGTGCTTTGCGAAGATCACAAGAAGCGGCTGCGAACGCATAATTGCTGCGCTAGCTGCGGCATATTTTGTACTCAGGTAAGTGGGAACGGAGAAGACTTGTTGCAAAATATTTTCGTGTTTGGATTTTCAATATCATTTCTTAATTTTCTTTTTCAGGGTAAATTTGTGCTTTGCAAGCGTCAACATTTTTTCCACACCGAATGCGCTGAGAAATTCATACTCAGCAGTCCCATCGATCCGCAACAGCCAGCCAGTAACTACACTAGTCCTACATTGGTGCTGAAGTGTCCGCACTGTGGCATCGATACGCCAGAACGTACCTCCATCGTCACGATGAAATGCCAAACATTGCCTGTATTCTTGCCTAGTCAAAGAGCGCCAAAAATGTATTAAAATTATTATAAAAATAAGTTTGCGTGACATGCTAACCTCCCTTTCGTTTATAGCAAACCTGCAAAACTTTCGTTGCCTGCTTTGAGTGGCGCTCCACAACCCAACGGTCACTCCAGCGCCGCGTTGGGTGTAGTTGCGAATAGTGCTACATCCGCCAGCAGTGGCATCGTTGCCGCTTCGTCGCTTGCTGTTGCCACCAACTCAGTGCCTAAACGAACGAAATCACTCCAAATAAATTTCGAACAGCTGATACCCGAATCTGTAATGAATGTAGTGTTGCGTGGTCGAGCGTCGAGCACCAGAGATGGACGCCGTGGCGCGAGTAGTACACGCAGTTCCATTTCGGAATTCTCCACGCGTGACATGTACTACGCGGTGAAGAATGATGATCTCGAACGAGTCGCGGAAATACTCGGTAGGTGATTTGGGGAATTCTTCCGCTTTGGGGTTTTCAACTTCAAATATTCTGTACCTTCCTTGCAGCCTCCGATTTCGATGTTAAAACGCGTATGCGCGAATTCCTAAATGGAACTTGCTTGCATTTGGTTGCGTTGTCTGGCACTTTGCCCATGGCTTTTCTGCTACTTTGCAAGGGCTATGCGAAAGAATTTGTGAATATGTTGGATCGTGAGCTGCGTACAGCATCGATGTGTGCCGTTTTGGGTGACAAGTGCGAAATACTGAATTTGTTCATACAATGCGGCGCTGATTTGGCGATAAAGGTAAGCTGGGAAAATCGTTTAGGGAAGTGATGAGTTGAGAGGTAAAATGATAAACCGAAAATGGTTTACTTATAAACTAATCCTAAAGAAATTGGCTACGAGTTTGGAATTTTGGAGTACTTTAATTTTTAATTTTTTTTTTTTAGAATTTTTTGGTTCTGGGTTTATGAATTTTACTTTCTTTACTTCCATCTAGGGTTTGGATGGCAAAACTTGTTTGCACATTGCCGCCAAATTGGGAAACTTGGAAGCGGCTCAAATAATTGTCGATAGCTATAGATCATGTCGTAGTATCTTAAGCTTCATGGATTTCATTAATGCCCAGGATGATGGTGGCTGGACTGCTTTGGTATGGGCCGCGGAATTGGGGCATACGGAAATTGTGAGGTAAGGCAAAAGACAAAAAAATAGACAAAAAAGCCAAAATATAAGGAAGAATTATATGAAAAACATTAAAAAATAAATAAAATAAAGAAATAAAAAGATAAAATGAATAAAGAATTATAAAAACAAAAAGATTAAAATAAAAAAATAAATAAATCAATGAAAATAAATTAAAAAATTATATAAAAAATAACAGTTTGTATTATAAAAATCTAACAAATCAAAAAAAAATTTAAACCAAAAAAATTTGTAAGTTAAACAAATCAAAATGTAAAATATTTAACAAGTAAAATGAGAAATGTAATAAATAATAAATGTAAAGAAAGATAAAATAGAGTATAAATAAAAGCAAGAAATGATAAAACAAATAAAAAATGTAAAAAATAAATAAATTAAAAAAGCACAAAAATAATTTCGGAAAATCCCCAAAAATTAAGTAGATAAATAAATAAGTAAAAAAAAATATTGCTTTATGCGTAAAACGTATTTTTCCTGATGTTTGCATTTTTTGTTTGTTTATTTTGCAGTCTCCTCCTAAACCACGGTGCTGATCCGAATATTTGCGATAATGACAATAATACCGTTCTACATTGGGCCACATTACACAACAATGGCTTGGATACGATCACAATGTTGCTGCAGGCCGGCACCGACTGTAATGTGCAAAATGTGGAGGGTGATACGCCACTGTAAATACAGTCCTTTTTTAAATTCATTTTATTTTGCATCCTCTATATCTATCCCTTTTTCCCTAGACACATCGCCTGTCGTCATTCCATCACCCGTCTGTGCATTGCACTCATCGCAAATGGTGCCGATTTGATGGTTAAAAACAAGGCGGACGAGCTGCCATACGATTGCATACCGCACGAAGATTCGGAGTGTGCGCGTACTGTTGGTTTCAATATGCAAATGCGTTCATTCCGCCCACTGGGGCTACGCAGTCGCATAGTTTGTGATGACATATCGAATGGGCGAGAGGCGCGACCCATACAGGTTGTGCGCAATGAGCAGACATTTTCTCGAAATGTAGCTGGCGGCGAGCAAAATGGTGGTAGTGAGGCGACATCAGCCTCTGTTGCAATTGTGAGCCATGACGAATCAGATGAGATTATGTTGCCCGATTTGAAATATATTAAAAAGTCAATAATATTGCAAAATTGCACGCCAATCGATTATCGAGTGGCGCAAATGCGCATTTGCTCGTGCTTGGATGGGTAAGTGGAAAGATTGAGTTTAGAAATTGAAATTGATAGCAATATGTTGCTACTTCATTTTATGCAGCTGCATTTCCTCACAATGCCAATGCACAGAAGCATCCGGCCAAAATTGGTATACTGCTGAAGGTCGCTTGTGCGCTGATTTTAATTTCGAAGACCCAGTGCCAATATTCGAGTGTAATGATGTTTGCGGTTGTAATAAGGTGAGTCAATAGTAAAGTGCCAGCTGCTGCAGCTATCAGGAGATGCTGAACGCTTCTTATGTTCATAAAAATATTTGCTATTATCTTAATTCTCCTAGCAACTTTTCCTTTCATATTCGTCTTCATTTCCATTTCAGCTGTCATGTCGAAATCGCATTGTACAAAATGGCATACGTATACCACTACAAGTGTTCGAATGCAGCGATCCCACCAAGGGTTGGGGTGTACGCACGCTGGTGCATATACCAAAAGGCACCTTCGTCTCAGAATATATCGGCGAAATACTTAGTAACACAGAAGCCGATCGACGCACCGACGATAGCTACTGCTTTGATTTGGAAAATGGTCATTGTATCGACGCAAATTACTTTGGCAACGTTAGTCGCTTCTATAATCACTCATGCGAGCCGAATATAGTTTCGGTGCGCGTATTTTTCGAGCATCAGGATTATCGCTTTCCGAAAATAGCATTTTTCGCCTGTCGCGATATTGAGGCGGGCGAGGAGTTGTGGTGCGTATGATGGGGTTTTTCTTTCTATTTATTTAAAACATCGCACGTATTAAAATCTTCCCGCTTTTCAGTTTCGATTATGGCGACACATTTTGGCTGTTCAAAAATCGTCATCTCTCCTGCAAGTGTTTAGCGGCTGCTTGTCGTTATGCGGCTGCTACCCCTAGTGGTGAGGGTATTGATGTTGAGAGCACAAATGCCACGTTGTTGCCCACGGTTTCACTCAGCGTGCTGCAGCAAGCAAACGAGGTGACCGTCGTAAGTGTTCAGACAGCGACAGGCAATAGCAATTTAAGAAATGGTCATGCTGCCTAAAGGGTTTAGGTTTTTTTTTTGGTTTAGCTTTAGTTGTTTGCTTTTTTGCAAAAGTAACGTATGAGGTTTGAGTTGCTGTGTGTAAGTTGATCTGTAAAATAATTTTTAACATTTAGTTTCTAATACTATATATAAATATATTACTTATATTATTATGTCCTCAGAGTTTTTATGTGCTTTTGTATAAAAAATATAGCGTAAAATGAAAATAGCATTTTTATAGGTTTGTTTTTTTGTTCTTGTTATAAATATATATAGTAGCTCACGCTTGTAATATATAACGTTGCCTGCACTATTTACTGCCAATTTATTCTTTTCTTTACTAACTTTGTTTTGTTTGCGTTTGCTAATATTTATCTATAACTTAATTTCATTACTCATATCTACGAAGTAGTCATAGAAATGACTTTGTAAAGGCTATCTTACATATACTACATACTTATATGTACATATACATAAATACGTATGTAACAATTATACATAATCATAATGCTAAAATAAAAGCACTCTGCACTTTACATATATATATACAGTCAGCGTCAAAAACATGCATACCCTGACGTTTTGACGATTTTATTAATTGCTATTTTCCAAACCAAATTTATCTTATAAAATTATAGTTTATTTAACAGCAAAAACCACTTTTTTTATTACTTAGAAATATTTCGAATATGTAGTTTTGAAGCCCATTAAATTTCACTACGATAAAGTGCAGGTTACAAGTCGCTTAAAATAACCGTTGATTTTTGAGATTTTTGTTTTTTGTCGACGGTGTTGCGCATTTCCTTCCATATAATGCCCGAACGAAGCCTATTTTTATATGGAAGAAAATCGAATTGAAAATTTGAAAATTCCGGTGAAAATTTCTTGATATTTCTTGCATTTTTCCGAGAAAAAAATTTGGGTATGGAAGATATAAATAAAAAAAAAAAAATCGTCAAAACGTCAGGGTATGCATATTTTTGACAATAAGGAATAACTGCTAAGGTCGAAAGATTGACGTTAGTGTAACACATCATTCCCATTATTACCCAAACTCAAGGGAATTTTCTTATTCCTTAATTTCCTTATTGTCACAGACAGATATATGTATTCTTTCAACAAAGTTTATTTAGTCGGTCAGAATTTAAATTTTGTAATTGTATGCCAAAAGTGCCTTTGGAATTAATATGAGTTGACGCAAAGCAAGTTGAATTAGAGACTGAAAGAGGCGGGTTGCAGGCGAAAACTTTGTTGAAAGAAAATAAAAAACACACAACACATAGATACATATGTATGTACATATAAAAAGCGGGTTTCTTAAATAATAAAATGTCTAATGTGGATGGCTTAAAGTGGCCTTTGGTTACTATACCATATTATTTAAAGTATGTAATGTCCATTATTTAGTTTCTTCTAATATTAAAAATATTAGTCAAATAGCAATGAAAGAGAGAGAGAAAAAAAAACAAAACATTTAAAATTATTAAATAATTAATAAAATCGCTTGACATATAAAAATACTACTTTAATGCATACTTGAAAAGGTTTGAATAAGGTAACAAAAGCAAAAAATTCATAGCGTAGAAATATTATACCCACACAAAAAGAGAATATAACCACTTGTTTGCACATAATCTAATATTTATTTATAAGCAATTTATTTAATGACAATTTAAAATGTGAACAATATACATATAAATGTAAAATATATATATATAAAATTAAAACTGTGTTGTTCTTTTTAGATTTCAAAAGTAATTATCTGGAACGTATCCGAAAATGGCAAAAATTCCATATAAAAATCGTTTATGCATTTCATTAATTTTCGGTCGTGTTTTTAAATAAAATTATCATTTTCGGTTACGAAAAATTGGCGGAAATTGCAAATATTTTCTTTTGCCGGATATGAAAACTGTACAAAAAACACTGTCAAAAAAACGTAGTTCCTCTGCTGGCTGCATTAATACACGTGTTTTTAATTTTTATTTTTCAAATTTCTTCTAATTTTATAAATTTTTTTCAAGTGTAATTAATTTTTTTCTCTTTTTACGACTTAAATTTCGTATCTTTTATATACTTTTTAAATGTTACTTTATTTTTTAATATATTTTTATTTTATTTTTATTTTTTCAATTATAAGTGCATTGTTAGTAAGTTTTTTAGGTTTTTAAATGTGCCTTATTTACTATATAGCTATTTTTGGTTATTCAAAAAAAAGAATCTTGAAAATTTAAAATAATAAAATAAATAAAATTAAAATTTAATAACAAAGATTAAAAAAATACATAAGCAAGAAAAACATTTGTAGAAAAAATTATAAAAACCAAAAAAAGATAAAAATAAAAGTATAAAAAAAAATTTAAGAAAGTAACAAAAAGAAAGAACGTTACGGACACCTTCCCACGACAGTTCCTTACGTAACCGGAACGACCCAGATTTATACATATCTGGCCAAGGACTTGTCACTTCCAAACACTTTGGGAAATTTGTACGCTGTTACAATAAAACCATAACGGGCAAAAAAAATTAACAAAAATGTAAAAAACTAAATACAAAATTTAAAGAGGATAAAGTAAAAAACGGAATTAAAAAAATTGAACAAAAATGTTAAAAATAAATACAAAATTTAAAGAAGATAAAGTAAAAAAAACGAAATAAAAAAAAATATAAAAAATATAAGCAATCAATAAAGAAAATATATTTTTTTATATAAAAAAGATTTTTAGAAAACTAAATGTTTCCTGAAAATAAACATGCTCATTTTGAAATTTCCGGTCGTTTTGCCCCATTCTTTTTATCCGACTTCACATATGGCAAATTATTATTTTCACGAATTCTTTCGCATCTTTTATACGAACGTCCTGCAAAATAAAAAGTTTTAAAAATTTAACGTGGCGAACTCAAAAATATCTACGGGACGGCGAAAGCCACGTATGCAGATCTCTAAACATCACAGCTCTTTTAATTCTGGACCTATACTACATATTTACTTATATTTTGTGCTTAAAACGTAATCAGTTGCCCATTTCATTGACCAAGCAAGAGAAAAATCCACTGATTAATCAGTCACTTTTAAAATCTAACATTGCAAAGCAGCTAAGTTTCTGTGCTAAGCTATGTATGTACATTAGAGTGGTCCAATTATTGTATGGGGGAAAAAAATTTCATCCTAGAAAACGGGGCGACCCCTTAGTTTTTTTCCTTTTGATATTTGTAATATCTATACCAAATTTCAGTTTTCTACTGCAACCAATACAGGGTGCTCAATTACCTTGAAATGCACTACTGAATCGCTGTGAAACTGGCAAAAATATTGGTGATTTTTATAAGAAGCTTCTGTTGCCATGACAACTGAAGCTTGTGATATTTTAATAGACAATTTAAATTTGAAATGTTCTCTAGATTAAAATATGAGCATCCTCTAAATTTATATTTAGATACGTAAGGTTTGGTACCAGCACCTCTTTCGGCAAGAGGAAAAATTTTGGAAGGTGCCCCAAACCCTGTAGACTTTCAAACTAACAGCCCTTCCCCTCCGGCACTTTGAAAATTTACTTCGTGAGGACCTCACAAATTGCCGCCCTAGCCATGCCCTATAATAGCCAAAAATACTCGATGAAGATAGTAATAAATAGTTCACGCTAGCCAGTCTAAACAGTCTTTGAAAAGCTAAAAATTATTCTCGTCTTCTGGAACAGATCAGTCTAATGATGGTTTTTTGAAAAAGTAAAAAAAAATTGTCATCTACTGGTTCGGAATTTTTAGTCTGTTCGCTTAAAATTTCCGTCTAGGAAACGAGCTCACGGCAGAACAATGAAAGACGAGTTCTTGGCTAGATATAGTCCACTCTCCATATTATCCATCCCCGGTCTGTTTTCTTCTGACAAAAATTAACCTACAATAGTCGGCTGAAGAACTGCCTGTTTTGATTTTCAGATCATTCAAGTTATTTCAGAAGTTTTAAATGCCTTAAAGAAATTTTCTTGTCCAGGAAAAGTCTCAACTATTTCCAAAAGAAGATAAATGTACTTATCCTCTGATATGTAGAAGTGGTAATATGTACCTATTGGTTGTATGATAGATGGTGACGGTCATAAAGAGGCTTTGTATGTTCCACTTTGGCATGCTATTCCAAATTTAGGCAATCCTCTTTGAGGATCTCAAAAGAGCTTCACTAAAAAATAGCTTGAGAATAGTAATATGACCTGAACTAGTAGCGAAGAAAGCTAATACATTCCACATATCCCGAGCTCCAATACTTACTTCAAAAATTCGCTCATCAAACGTTGCACTAGTTAGTCTAAATTCTACAGGTCCGGTAGGTCGAACCGTCCTCTGACGAAGTAATGCAATAGCGTCCACGATAAAGTTATCGTCCAAACCTTTGACGTGATAAAAAGTCAGAATTCGTAACCGCTGACATTTCCCAACAAATACCAAAGCATCCCTCACATCAACTCTTGGACCAATATAAAATTCTTCCAACTCAAGGAGATTACCAAATATGGCCAGTGAAACTGCAACGCTAAAATGCACGCCAGAAAAATGCAAACATTTCAGCCACGTCAATTTCGATATATACTTAAGATCTCGCTCCGTCAGACTACTTCTTCGAATAAATAGTTGGTCTAATTGTGTTCGGCGATATAATTCCTCAAAGAACAGTTTTGCTTGGTAGCTGCCACAGTTACAGACACCCCAGTCTGCGGTTTTGGAGGCGTGCTCAGTCGAATTCTTACCACTGCTTATGGTCTTACAAGCGTCGCATTGGCGAGTGTGGAACCCACGTATGTCGAGTATTTTCAGTTGCGATAGTGTGGCTATTAGTTGCCAAGAGGGATCTGTATTCCATTGCACCTCTAGTTCCTCAAGGTAAGTTAATTGCTCGACAATTTGCTGAGCAAAACGCTCCGAGAACGCTGAAGAGCAGCTGCGTACTTTCAGACGTAGTAATTTGTTGTACCGCGCAATGTTAAGCAAGTACTCAGGTTGCAAAGAATTAGCCGATTCTAAATATAGCGTCTTAAGACTGTTCAGTTCGTCAATGTATTTTCCTGTGGGGTATATGAAGAGAAAGGGCTGGAGGTAAATTTATGAGATGGGTAATACGCAGTTGTCTTACCTGTTAATAGATAACTTGTTGAGCATATTAAAATCTTAAGATTTGGCAGCGGCAACAGCGCCTCCAAATCTTCGTTGTTAAAGTCATTTAGTTGCGCTTCTTCGATTTCTGGATGGTTGTGACGTAGTGCACGCAGCAAGTTCCGATCGCATTTGCTTATATTGATCTTCTTTATGGTTTTCATAGGGAACTCCTCAGTGCCAATTAGAGCTGCGAAGCGTTCAACTATGTTATCGTCTAAGCATTTTTGCTCGCGAAATTTTATCATTGATTCATGACGCTCGTAGAGCTGGAATACATAGCGAAATCTTGTGCAGACATCGGGCCAAAAGTATGTGCGCGTGCCCAAGTCTAAACGTTTTAGAATTTTCATTAAACATTCGTCATTGAGGTCGAGTATTGTTGTGGTTGCTGCCGTATCCATTATAGGGCTAAAGGGAGGAGAATGGAAATGTTATGTTGGGAAAACTTGGCTACCCCACGAAACTTTTTCAGGCCATAAACCTACTTAAACTGAAATAACGTATATAAAAGGAAAAAGTTGTGATTAAGCTAATTTAAAATTTCGCTTGAATAAACTTTTATTGTTTGCCGCACTTTTAAAATCGCAAAAAAAATAATATTTCGGGAACGGAATGTTGTTTTTTGCGTTCCTCACGCTCTGGGCACTTTTGACACATTTTTGACAACTGTTAGAGAGTAACT